AAAACATTTGTACTAGAAAACCTGCATTCTCTTTACCAAAAGGCAGTCATCATGCTTTTCCTCCCTCTCCACTCCCAACCCCTTCACGGTAACCACCATTGGAAAAGCCAATGATCCAGGACTGGGACTTCTCTCTTTCTCATCTCACTTCCATGTGGTTTTGGCCTGGCTGGCTCAGTCCTTTAATTAAATTGCAATCATATGCTTGCTGATTCCAAATGCATAGCTCCAGCCTAGACCCTAATCCTGACACTCCAGATTTGTAAATTCATCTGATGGCCCGACATCCATATTTGGATACTTGACAATCTTCACACATTGATATGTCCAAAACCCAACTCCCCCCTGTCTTATCTGCAATTGTACCATTAATGGAAATGGCAAGTTCACTGTCAGTGAAGAATTAAATCTGGAAACCACTCATAAGTCGTCTTTTTCTCTGACATCTCATGTCTAATTGAGCAGCATATCTTCCCAGCTCTATCTTCAAAATATGCCAAAATCATGTCCATTTCTCAGCACCCCCAGTACCAGTCCATAATCAACTCTGATTGAAGTATTGCAAAGATTCTAACTGCTTTTCCCACTTCAAGACTTTCCCCTCTCTGATTCTCAGTAAAGCGTACAGAGTGATCACCACAAAATATTAACCCAATCATGCTATTCCTCTGCTTACAATTGTTCACTGATTCCCTAGTTCACTTAGAGGTAAAGCGTCTGGATCAGTGGTCTAATTCCTGTACTTCTGACTCTGCCACTGCGGTACAGGCCTCCTCACAGGTCCTAAAAGACATCATCTATCACACTTCCTTCTCTGGAAGGCTCGCCTCTAGATCAGATGTTAGCTGAGTTATTCCCTACTGCGTCAGGCCTTCCTCCATCACAAAATTCAAAAGTAGATGCCCTACCCCCAGAACTTCTGGTCACCCTTACTTTTCTCCTTGTTTTCAATATTCTGTATCATCTTCTAACATTTCCTGTATATTGAAAAATTTAAGTAAATATTAGCAACATGAAGCTGGGATTTGTAGCATTTTTGTTGTTGTTCACTGACATATTTCAATGCTTAGGAAAGTAGCTGGCATATTTGTTGAACTAATTAATTGATTACTTCAGTCTGTAAATAGCATTGGGAATATGAGGACATGAATTCTGAGAGTGTAATGATTGTAAGAATTTATGCAATTGATATATATAAATCTCCCTATCAAAACACAGGTTAAATCATTGAATGTCACTGCTAAAGAGGGGTGTGG